AAAAAAAAAAAAAAAAAAAAAAAATATATTGGCTTTCTATTTGAAGGGGAATATATCTGAATTTATCTTGATAATATTTTTTGGTTTGCTGATTGCCTTCCCTCCCTCATCCTATTAAGGTAAATAGCACTGGACAAGGAATTAGAAGAACTGGATGCTAGATCTTTCCCCGCTGTAAACTTTGTGTGTGTCTTTTTTTTTTCCCCTCTCTGGGCTTCAGTTTCTTCTAAAATGTTAGAAGAGTGAATTCAATGAATAAGGCTCTTTAAGTACATTTTATGAAAACATTAATTAGTTCTACTGGACTAGCGCAATACCAGTTTATTAAATAATAAATAATCACTTGAACATACATTTATATAAAACTAACAAAGTGTGTGCATAGACTGTGTACAATGAAGAAATCTTAGGGATCACCTAGTCCCGTGATACCCAAGCTTCAACCCCTTATGTCTTTATGATTTTTGTCATAATTGTGCGCCCCCAGCAATATTATTTAATGTCATTTTCTATATTGACTTGGTTTCTTCAAATTTTAAAAATATCTTAGTGTCACCCTAAGCAATAATATCCATGAAGTCACAGACTTGATGTGCTAGATATGTGTCTTTGTAATAAGTTTTCATTTATGTGCCACCTAAAATCAACTTATGTGCCTAGACTTGGGGAATACATCTCATAATTTGGACGATCTTGCTTGGGCTCCTCCTTCAGATGTGGAAACTCAAGGTTGGAAAGATGATTAAATAACAGAGTTTCTTATCACAAAGTTTCTTATCACAGGTTGCCATGGACGCATAACCAGAGGCCACCTTCCCTGACTATGTCACAGTCAGAGGCAGAGCTGTGGCTAAAGCCCAGACCATCTGATTCCTAGATCAGGCCTCTTTCCACCTTACCATGCCGCTCCCACGGTTGCCATTATGATCTAACTATTCATATCTCTACTAGAGATGAGACTAGAATCCAGGTCTTCCTTGACTGTGGTAAATTATAATAATAATAAATGAATCCTGTGACTTCGGGTGAGCCATTTAATCTTTCTGGATTTGAGTGCCCTTATTTGTCTAAATGAAAGAATAACTCCAGTTCTGCCTCCTTCCACGTGAGGAGAATGGTACTAGCTGCCATTGACGAAGCACTTCCTAGACCACTATGAGGGGATGGGACCAGATGATTTCTCAGGGGCCTTTCTGTTATGAAATGTTTCTCTTCTAATGAACAGGATAAACCCAAGTTCGCTTCTCCAAAGGAGTATGTGTGTAAGAATACTCTAACTTTAGGAAAACCAGATATTCTTGCAGTCCCACTGAGTAAAGTAAACTCAAATCAAACAAAGTCTATAAAGTCAGGGGCGGGGGGGGGGGGGGATGATGGTTTTGGTTTCCCATCAGGGCAATTGTGTTTTAGGCAGTGAGTTTCCTCCAGGTAGGGTCATCAGGTGAGCATCTTGATCTAGCCAAAGCGTAGGAGTTGAATCCTGTCAACTCCAGCTGTTTATCATCTGTCAGATGGGCATGCATCACTGCTCTGATGACATCACAGAACTGCTTTGTGCACAAGTGAGGAGGTGGCTGCGCACACCTGTGAGAAAGCTAAAGCACCCTACTGGCTTGGGCAACTTTTGCCGTGGGATCTGTTCCCTGCGGGAGAGGATGGGTGGGGATGTTGCCTCTTACCAACAAAGGTGACATCGGATAGAGGGTGCTTCTGGGTAGCTTACCTTAGCCTTGGCCACTCTCCAATTCTCATTTCTGTCATTTTTATGTCCTAGATTTACTATTCTGAAGGTGGACAAGCTACAGCCATCGGGCAATTTAAAGGTCGGATTGTAGGGTCCAACGACCCAGATAACGCATCTATCACTATTTCACATATGCAACCAACAGATAGTGGTGTCTACGTCTGTGATGTTAACAACCCCCCTGACTTTGTTGGAAAAAATCAAGGCATCCTCAAAGTCAATGTGTTAGGTACGGGCAATTTTTTTTGTTTGTTTTTTTCTCTTCTTGGAACAACTAAGACCTTAAATGAGCAGTGAGTTATGGTGCTAATTAAGTCCCAGGGGGTAAATATCCTCCCGGCTCCTTTTATTAGCAGGGAAAGAGAAGCACACCACCATCCCAACCTTCATAGTAACACTGAGAAATCACTCACAAAACACGTTGAAACCGTGTTGCCAAAATGGCAGAAAGCAGAAGATAACCCAACCTCCGGGATCTGTATCTCTGATGGGTAGAATGGGAACAGAGGGACAATGCACAGTTGCCACTAAATGATCACTAGCAACTCCTTCAGAGGGAACCTCCAATTGGAGCCAGTCCTACCTGGGGGAGAGAACTGTCAATTTATTATCTCTCCTAAGCCGGGCACAATTCCCACCATTAAACCATTCTTTTGAATAAAGGCGGGAGAGTCCCTTTTAAAATGCGGGGGCGGGGGAGAGGGGAAAATGGGTGATGGGCATTGAGGAGGGCACTTGTTGGGATGAGCACTGGGTGTTGTATGTAAGCAGTGAATCATGGGATTCCACTCCCGAAACCAAGAGCACACTGTATACACTGTACGTTAGCTAACTTGACACTAAATTATATTAAAAAAAAAAAGTTAGCACTATTTGGAGAAAGGACCACATGTTAAGCCATAGTGAGAATTTATTTATATACAGATATTCGTTATGTGGCACTCAGCAAGTCATATCTGCTTTTCAAATGCATTTGGAGTGGTTCATTTATACAGTATTTATTGAGTGCCTATTTTGTGCCAGGACCCATGAGGTTTACAGTGATGGAGGCATCGTTTCTGCTCTTGGAGAGTTCACAATTTTTGGTGGTTTCTAGCACTCCTTCCAGTCTCTAAAAGGACAATGAGAGTTTTGCTCCTGTTGCGGGCCTGTGGAAGTACTGAAGGGAGAAACGAAAGGGCTGTCAAACCTCACCAATCAACCATTTGAGCTAAGGGATCTCCCATTTCTAAGTAATCCCAAATGGAGTTGATCCAGTCATTGTTCCTCTTGAGCTGTGTACATCCATCACAGGAAAGAAGGAACTAGATCCAACCAGTGACTTGATAATTGACTAGCTTGGAAAAGCAGTAGTTGGTAACAAGGTGCACATCCAGGAGAACCATCCAGAATCATCTGAGCTTGCCTCCCAGGTGATGCCCAAAATGAATTGTGAGGTTTGCCCACATCTACCCAACTGGAAAAGAGGGAAAGGTCATCAGGAGCTGATTTTTAAGAGTGGGGTAGCTCAATCATGCTTTTATTTTGCTGAGCCCCATGTTAGGCATTGGGGTACAGGGGGAAGACAAGAGAATTACAAGCCCTTTCCTGGGAGAGTTGGTGCTCCAGTTTGGAAGACTAGTCATGTACATGGGAACTAAACAGTGTGGTATATATGCTGGGGGTCAGAAGGCTTAGGTTCTGGCTCATACTCCACTACTCAGTAGCCTCAGGCAAGTCAGTCCACTTTTCTCTGGCCATTTGGAGATGGGGTTGTAATCTCTGCCCTGTCTTTACAGGTTTGAGGATCAAATGATATACTGGAGATTCAACTTTCAAAGCACTTGGGGGAATTAGCCCTCTAAAGTTTTTCTGCTGCTCCCTGGCTCTGGGTTGTCCTTCTGACCAGAAACAACCTAAAGAAGCCAAGCCTCTGTCTGAGGAGTTGGGCATGGTGGGGGCCGTGGGGAGTAAGGAGGCCAACTGTGGGGAGAGGTGTTGATATTTCCTTAGAGATCACTCTTCCTAGCAATGAATTTCCCAGAGATATTCCATTACCCAGTGATGGACGTAGATCCCATGCTTTTGCTCATTCATGCATAAATTCATTCAACAAATCCTGAACACGTGTTCAGTTACTGTGTTACACAATGGTGATGGAAAGATAGAAAAGACAGGGTTTCAGCCCTCCAAAAGTTTAGAAAATAGGGGCTGGGGTGGCAGGACACGCTTTAGGTAAAGGAAACAGCAGTGAGCAAAGGCGCAGGTGGTTTGGACGACCATTCATTTGAGAGATATCCATTAGGTATGACAGCCTTGGAAAATGAAGCTTTGAAAAATACCCAGATAGAAGTTTGAATAATTATTTTGTATACATTTGGAATAAGCACCCTATTCCTTCTGTGATTTGGCACATAAAAAGAAAACGATGAATTTAGAGAAGGCTTGAGAACACAATGAAGCATTTTCATTTACTTTGTGAGGTAAGCCTCTTCCTCCCAACCCGGTTCTGTTGAAAGCAATAATGCTAAATGGTAGATCAATGGCTATGCCAGTGAAACATCCAAGTTCTACTGGGGATGTTAACTGGTTGAAATGGCAATCCCATCCTGATTCAGTAGCTTTAGAAAATATATAGGTTTGGGATGTGGTTCAAAGTGATTCGCTAAGTGTTTTGCTAATAAAAAAATAAAATGAGAGAAATGTGTCCAGCAGGGGGAAAAAAGCCTATCTGGGTTTGGTTCTGGGCTCTAGAAACACTCCCCATTTAATTTTATGCTCATAATGCTCTATTCTGCTGTAAAGGCGATCCGATCAAATCATCATGGTGATAATCAGTTTCTAAATCTAGTGACGGTTGCCATGGGGTAAGAAAAAGAGAATAAAGAGCTAAATAGAAAAATACTTACTTTAATTTAAAAAACACCTGTTTAAACAATGGGGCTAGTGAAAGGTGTCAAAGAGCTACAGCTGCATCCGTCTTCTCACTCATGTGTAGAGTGGGTTAGAGTCCGAAACTGGAAGCTTAACTTCAGTAGCAGGCCACAAAATGTAGGAGACCATGCCCAACAGCAACTCCATGTGCAAGGCATTTATAGGAATTATTTTACTTGCATAAATTCAATATATTTGGATTAGTCAGAGATAAAGTCAATATATTAGGATATATAGTATCCAATATGTTTGGATGGTTTGGATTACAGATGAGTCAGCTGAGGGGTGGTTATGTTAGGTTACTTGCCTAAACACCATCTAGAGTAAAACTGCAGAGCGAGCAGTCTATGCAGATCCAGAACTGTGCTCTTAACTGCTGCCTCCAAACTGAGAGCTGGAGAGCTGGGGGAGTCCAGAGCATTCAAGGTATAACTGGCCTGAGCTAGAGAAGCTGTGTCTTTGGAGGGTTTCAGGCCTAGGTGAAGAGAAGGAAGGTGAGTTGGTAAGTATTGGAATTTAGATTATTATCTACATGTAACACGAGGCTTCGAATAAGCTGTGAGCAGCAGGATGAATGAGGAAATTCAGATTCTCACTTTCCCATGGGACTTCTCCACGGAGATGTTTTCATAAACAGCTAGAACTCAGTATGTCCCAAACTGACCTTATTGTCACCCCTTCCTCCTCTGCCCTCCTTCCCTGAAAACCTGCTCCTTCTGTATTCTTTATCTCAGGATGACAAACTCATGTACCCAGCTGTCCAAATCAGAAACCTAGGAATCATCATTGCCTACACTTTCTTCTTCATGCCCCCTATTCGTCTGGTCACCATGTCCTGTCGATTCTACTTCCTTGATACCTTGTGACGATTTTCCCTCCTCGCACCCCCAGAGAGCAAGCAAACCAACTAAAGCATTAAAAATGACCATTGTCCTTCCCCTATTTAAATTCCTTCCATGATGCTCCTGCTCTCTGTATAAAACACATGAGGGGCACCTGGGTGGCTCAGTCAGTTAAGTGTCTGACTTTGGCTCAGATCATGATCTCATGGTTCGTGGGTTGGAGCCCTGTGTCGGGCTCTACGCTGACAGTGTGGACCCTACTTGGGATTCTCTCCCTGCCCCTCCCCCACTTGTGCTTTCTCTCTCTCAAAATAAATAAATAAACTTAAGACAAATACACGAAATACAAAGCTCTCCAAGCTATGGCCTCTGCTGCTCTCTGGCCTCATCTCTCACTACTCCCCCCACCCCACTTCGGAAGTGTTTCAGGGTTACTCTTGAATTTTTGGTGCCTTGTCCAGTGCCAGGCACATAGAAGGCAAACAAGTAAATGCACGTGGAGTGAAAGATAAATAAAGATCTCAGCATCACGTAACACATCCTCTCAAAATGGGCTTCCCCTACCGATGAGGGACACAGGCAAATTCAAACCCTCCAATAGTTTTGTGTCACCCATCCCCAGAGAAATTAATGTCAAAAAAGACTTATAAAGGAAAGGAAAAATATAGCATTAGTAAAACAAATTTTGTAAAAAGAATAATTAACAACTTATTGCAACGTATTTAAGGGTCCTATTTTCCTTTAAAACTGTGCTTCAAAAGTGTAAACTCTGTCCTTAGTCGTTTAGTGTTTGCTTACATTTGGCAGTTTTAATAAAGGCATATTTTAAGACAATGCGAGATTCATGGTTATGAATCTGGGGAGGAGGCCGACAGAAGAGATGCTGTTAGAATCTTAATGGCTTGGTGACTGGAAGGCCCTTGAACCTGAAGTGCTCTACCCCCACCTGGTGGTACAATCAGAAAACTGTCAAACTAACGTTTCAAAGCTTTAAAAATGGAGCGCGCACATTCTACAAAATGACAGTGAGGAGGTGACTGCAGTTGTTACAGAGTGCAATTCCCCCCTCAGGATGTTTACTTTGTCGTTGCCTTACAGTCAAACCTTCTAAGCCCCTTTGCAGCATCCAAGGACTACCAGAAACTGGCCATCCTATATCTCTTTCTTGCCTCTCGGTCCTTGGGACACCTTCCCCTGTGTACTACTGGTATAAAGTTGAAGGAGGAGACATCGTCCCAGTGAAAGAAAACTTCAGTAAGTACAGCCCTCTGTGGACCCTGGGTGGCTTAGTCAGTTAAGCTTCTGACTCTTGGTTTCAGCTCAGGTCATGATCTCACAGTTTCATGAGTTTGAGTCCCGGGTCGGGCTCTGTGCTGACAGCACGGAGCCTGCTTGGAATTCTCTGTCTCCCTCCCTCTCTGCCCTCCCTTACTCATGCTGTCTCTTTCTCTCTCTCTCTCAGGATAAATAAATAAACTTTAAAAAAAAGTACCGTCCTCCACAGCCCCTGGCAAGATGTGGTGTGTGGGGTTGGCTGATAGTATGTGTGTGGGGCTGGTTGCTCATCTTTAGAGCTCAGTCTTCAATTTTTCTGGAAAGGGGATGTCAAAAGGTCTCCTAACAAGATGACTATGGTCTGGTCTTATCCCCAGCCTGTAGAAGTCAAGCCTGTTTTTGGCTCAGAGGCGGTGGGTATGGAGAGAATAGGGATGGTTCCAGATGGGCTACCTTTGGAATAGTCCCACGGGGTCTAGTTGGATCCAGAACATCTCCGGGAAGGGAGGACAATGTAGGGATGTGGGTGGGAATTGAGCAATTCTGCTACATTGGTATGATCTGTAGCCACATAAGAGATTTCAAAAGTCTGTTTCCTGTTTCTGACAGACCCAGCCACCGGGATTTTGGTTATTGGAAATCTGACCAATTTTGAACAAGGTTATTACCTGTGCACTGCTATCAACAACCTTGGCAATAGTTCCTGCGAAATTGATCTAACTTCTTCACGTGAGTTGATCATCCAACTTCAATAGTTTCTCCTTAGGTCAAGTATCCTGGGCCTGCCAACCCAGTAAATGAATTAGGATCCCTGGTTAGTCCTTCCTGCCTTTCTGGAGATTTTGGTGGTTTATTTATAGGTTGATATGATGAATTACTATCCTAAAATCTAATAACTTAATATGTGCTGTAATCTGCCCTAAGTCATTTACAAAAATTTTGTTTAGCCCTCATAACATTTCTAGAAAGTAGATATTACTATTTAGTAAATAAAACAGCAGCCCCATTGATATTACCAGAACGAATTTTCTTTGTGATGCTGTTGGTGAATCCTGGTGAAACTAGCAATCTGTGTCACATACGGAGCTCACAAACTTTCCAGTTCATCAGTAATTTGTTAAGATCTGTCTCTAATAATAATAGCAATAATAGCACTTGTACCTACAGCTAATATTTGTGGAGCACAAATGGTGTGCCAGATACATGGCCAGGTGTGGTGAGCGTTATCTCACTCAATCCTCCAACCACCCTGCTGAGGAGGCACAATGTACTGTTAGCCTAATTTTACTGAAAAGGAGACTGAAACTCAAGGAGGTAAGTGACTTGCCCAAGGTCATCCAGTTAGTGACTGGCACAGCCAGGATGCCTTTAAACCACAACCTCTCAGGGGTGCCTGGGTGGCTCAGTCTGTTCAGCTTCCAACTCCTGATTTTGGCTCAGGTTATGACCTCACAGTCATGAGATCCAGCCCTCCACTGGGCTCTGTCCTGGTCGTGGAACCTGCTTGGGATTCTCAATCTCTCTCTCTCTCTCTCTCTCTCTCTTTCTCTCTGCCCCTCCCCCACTTATAGGTGCACGTCCACATGCTCTCTTTCTATCAAAACAAAACAAAACACCCAAAACAAACACAACCTTCCAGTTCAAAGGTGCTCAGTTACTAAGCACAGAGTTGAGGGCCCGGAGTTGTAAAATTGGGCCAATCGGGGGGCAAGCTGTCACAAGGGCTATCTTGCCACACCTTTGAATGGTCACTTAATAACACTTAGGATCATGTCACCTATTCATTATTTCTAACTCACTTGGATCTGTGACTTAAGCTATACCATATCCAGGTGGCCAGTTCCCTTGGACCATTGCTCTCCTGTGAAGCTAAGGTTTCTTCCTTCCACTTGTCCTGAATCAAACACTTTCTCTCTGCCCCTCCCCCCACTCTCTCTCAAAATAAATAAAGAGACTTGAAAACAAAGAGGCGAGAGTTTTACAAGGGCGCCTGGGGGGCCGAGTCCCTTAAGCATCCGACTCTTAATTTCAGTTCAGGTCATGATCTCACGGTCCTTGAGTTTGAGCCCTGTGTTGGGCTCTGCGCTGACAGTGCAGAGCCTACTTGGGATTCTCTCTCTCTCTCTCTCTCTCTCTCTCTCTCTCTTTCTCTATTCCTTCCTTGCTTGTGCTCTCTCTCTCTCTCTCTCTAAAAATAAATAAATAAACTTAAGAAAAAACAAAAACATTTTGCAATTCCAGGTTGCTTCTTCATTCAGCTAATTTCTATTCAAAGGTGAAGGGACATCTTTTTGGTCTTTGTCTGTGTTCTCATTCTACCACAGTCCCTTGATCATTTCTTCTGTGTGTCTCTATATCTTTCCCAATCCTGTTTTGCTTTTCCAAGGGTACAGTTATACTGCACATGTAGAGACTCAGCAGTTGTACTTGAACCTTGCTTCCACTCAAATACTTTTTTAAATGATTTTGGCATTTGACTGCCTGCTCACTTCTCCTTCCCTTCCCTTCCCTTCCCTTCCCTTCCCTTCCCTTCCCTTCCCTTCCCTTCCCTTCCCTTCTCTTCCCTCCCTGCTTCCCTATCTTCCTCCCTCAAAAATTAATTGGATATCTACTATTTGCCAGGAACTATCATAGGTGATAGAGATACAGAGGTTAGTAAGATACATGTCTTACACTCAAGAACTCACAGTTTAACTAGAAGGACACAGTAAAATGTCTTAAATGCTATAATAGTGGTCTGTACAGGGTCTCTAGGACACCAAAGAAGAAACAATTATGCTTATAGAACCCAGGCAACTCTACCAAAAAAAGTGCTACTTGAGCTGGATCTTGAAAGAACTTGCAAAACCTGTTTCTTTATCTAGAAAATAGGGATGAAGGTGAAAGGCAGGAGAGGGATGACAGTACAGCAGCAGGCTTAGGAGAGCGAACAGTCCATGCTGGGGGAGGAGGATGGAGGGCTCCAGAAGGGACGTCTCCAAGGGGGAAAAACATAAGAAACCAATAAAGGGCACCTGGGTAGCTCAGTTAGTTAAGCTTCTGACTTTGACTCAGGTCATGATCTCATGCTTTGTGAGTTCAAGCCCCGCTTCAGGTAAACATGAGCCCCGCTTCTGGTGAGCCCCGCTTCTCTCTCTTTCTGCACCCCCCCCCCACAACAAAAAAGAAACCGATAGATTATCTGACCTATTTAAATCTAAGAAAAGGACTTTTAATAGTTTTGGTGGAAATTTGGGGGGTTAGTAGTAATACATTTAAAAAAAATCCCCAAATGAAGTAATAATGAACTTCAATGAAAAATTGTAAATGTACCAGAATCATAATATATATACTATGTTCCACAGCTGTGAACATTTGCATACTGCAAACTTTGATATAACAACAACTTGTGCTATAGATATTATCAGGAGAATGTGGGTGGGGGGTGGGTATAAGAATACAATCTTCACCTTCCAGGGTAGGAAGTCATCAAAAAAGGACAAAAATTGGAGAATTAGAACAAGCATAATAGAAACATAGGGGCAAATATCAAGATGATTTAAAAAAAAGAGAGAGAGATGAGTGGTTGCCTCTAGTGAATGGGACACAGAGATGGGGAGAGGAGAAGGAAGGGACTGCTGTTTCTTTGCTAGAAGTCTAGTCAAATCATTCATTTCACTTTGCAATTTACACGCATGGATTCCTTTAACCATAAAAAGTCGAAATAATGATCAACGAACTCAACTAGCCTCTTATCTCGAAGTATAAGATGTCCAGTCTTGTTTGAAGGGAGGCAGATGGGGACGGGCCCCCTGGAGCTCAGACAGGGTCCCCCAGGGACAGAACTTTAGTGCTGGAAGGTCTGGTGCTCAGCTGGGTCATCTCACATTTGTTGGGTTGTTCCATAGACTGATCTAATAAACCAGATGCCTGTTCATGGAAAGGGGCACATCTTTTTCCAGTGGTCGGAATGCACGAGGCTCCTTGGTGAGCATGGAATCTGTGGGAGAGGTTTTTAGGGAACTACTTCACCTATGCTCTGAATAAGCCTGGTGAAACGTCCCTGCCTGTAACAGAGGTCATTTCTCTGGCTACCAGATTGTAGCTCCACAGGTTTTCATTGGTCAAGAAGATGCCCATTGATGGGGTGCCTGGGTGGTTCAGTTGGTTGAGTGTCTGACTCTTGGTTTTGGCTCAGGTCATGATCCCAGGGTCGGGGGATCAAGTCCCACATTGGTCTCCATGCTGAGTGTGGAACCTGCTTGGGATTCTCTCTCTCTGTCTCTCTCTGCCCCTCCCCTGTGTGTGTGTGCATGCGCATGCGCATGTGCCCATGCACGCTCTCTCTCTAAATAAACATTTTAAAAAAGCAAAAACAAGAGAAGATGCCCATTGAAAACCCACTTCTCTAAGCCCCATTTTGAAAGTGACCCCCCCCCCCCGTAGGCATATGTCTTCTTATGTGTATCAATGTGAATGGGTAAGCAACATAGTCAAGCCAGTCATCTTTCTTCTCCCCCTATGAGTCTGGCCGAGTTCTCGGGGTTTCTGAGCTCTACAAGTCATTTTCCCACTGTATGAATGCTGTAGATATTCTGCACTGGTCACAAATGCACATGTAAAAGGCAGACTACATTCCACTTTACCAACCAGCAGCTTATATCTTCCAGATCCAGAAGTTGGAATCATTTTGGGGGCATTGGTGGGCACCGTAGTAGGTGCCACCATTATCATCTCTGTTGTGTGCTTCGCAAAGAGCAAGGCAAAGGCGAAGGCAAAGGGGAAAGGAAGGAAGAGAAATTCGAAAACCACCACAGAACTTGAGTAAGATCTTATTTTGTTGCCTTTACTTGACAGTCAGCTCTTCCTAATTGCTCTTTTTAGCTTAACATGTCGGGGGTATCTTTCTGCTCACTCTCGCTGCTTATATGGAGAACGATGATGGCCACCATTTCTTGAGACCTGTGTGCCAGACTCCGTTCTAAGTGCTTTATGTGTATCAACTCATTGAACCATTGCAACAACCATTTTAGGTCTAAGAAAATGTGTTAATATATCATGCTGATATACTCGTCTTTCTACCAACATGGTCATAAAAAAATAATTTTTCACATTTTTCCTGGAACAAGAGGACCATGAAGGCAAGAGTGCCTGTGGCCCATGGAAATCGGCATGTGGCTCTGCCCACAGCCCACTCTCTTGACCACTCTGCTATTTCTTCTTGAATGTGTATCACACTCGTTCCTTTGTTTCTCTCTCCATTTCTATGCTTCCACAACTATGTATTGTATTGTGCACAACTATGTATGTATTGTGCTAGATAGAGTGAGAGCTAGCGGTGGCTCAGAGCCATGGATTTGGCCCTCAAACACATTATTTAGACCCTTTCGTCCTGACATTAGTTTTCCTACCTTTTGAATACTGGCTTTTCTCTCTTGAACTCTCTTTATATTGTTGAGATCTATCCTTTCTGGTCAGGAGACAAAATGAACTCGTGGTCTGACAATGAGTCAGAATATTAGAAATCACAGAGGTCTTGAACAGATTGGAACCCATGGTCACTGAAGCGACACAATCTGTGGTTCCATGTGAAATGGCATACCCTAACTCCTTCTCCCTTGGGCCTTCTTCCTGCAGACCAATGGCAAAGATAAAACAAAGTACAGAGTGCGAGGTCATACCAGCTGAAGACGTTACCCACCTAGAAGCGCCTCTGCCACCTTCCATCCATGAGAATGAACCTGATACCATCCTGGGACCAGATTGTGAGCCTAACCCCGAGCCTGAGCCTGTCCAGGAGCCTGCTCCACAGCCTGCCTCGGGTCCTGAGCCTGTTCTGGTGCCTGAGGTTGAGATAGAGCAGGAGCAGGAGCCGGAGCCTGAGCCTGAGCCTGAGCCTGAGCCCGGGATTGGCATCCAGCCCTTGAGTGGCAAGGAAAAGGGAGTGAATAAGCCATAGGCCGGTAGCCTAAGTAGTGTTTATCACTAAGGAACCCATAATTGGGATTTGGAATTCAGCTGACATAACCAATCTCCCACCACCTCCCTCCATTCTAACCAACCCTCTTCTAACAAGGTGCTCCCACCATCAATCCTAAATAAACAGGTCAAGATAACTACTAAATAAGCACAAGGGTTCCTGCATTACTTACCATTTTACTAACATGTAAGCATAACTAAGGATAAGGCATGTGATTTCTAATTCAGTTGAAAGTGTTTTGTAGCAACATCTACTTTGTATTTCAGAAAACCGTATTTCTCTATTTTTAGCTACACTTTGTTACATTCCACATGCACACATGACAAGGTGGCATTAACTGGGGTCCATATTATTTCTATGATCAGCCGTCCAGGCTTCCCTATTCATTTTCACATTTCACATCGGCCCCAAAGACAAGAGTTTACCAGCATTCTGTCATAGATTAGAAAAAACAATCCTCAAAAATTCCGGAGGAGAATAAGTAAAGGGTACATCTTAATTGGTACATAGCATTTAAAACTAGGTCTTGAAATCAGTGTTTCATTTATCACATTAGATTTCCCAAGGACCCACCCTGCTATACAATATCTTGAGCATAGCAACATTTTTAAATAACCTAAATTTTAAATTGAAAATAATGTACAGGTAGTACATTCCAGGTAGTAGACAATTCCAAATAGTATTTTCCTTTGGTGAATACACATCATAGGGGATGTACACTTTCACTTTTAATGAGATATTACGTTACTACTGTGTCCGATGCTATCTACTTTGGAAGGGCCAGAAATGGGAAACTGTTTTAAATGAACACCTAAGATCTATTTTAGATAATATGAACTAATTATTTGATCTGTTTTGCTTTTGGGATATTCCACGTGAATAGATACTATTCTTGTATAAATACTAAATATTAACTAAAGTGCATTGATGTCACCTCTTCTCCACCTGTTAAAATGTCTTTTCCATTGATCATATTTTACCCACGTCCTACCTTGAAGAAATTTATAGGTAGACTTTTTCATCTGTAATCAGAGTTTCTATCTTATTTTGAAGTTCAATAAATAATACTAATAAAATCTTACTTTAATGCTCCTCAGGTGAATGTTTTATTAACATTATTGACATATACTTTACATACAATAAACCACACCTATTTCCAGTGTATAATTTGATGAGTTTTGACAGATGTAGATACACCCATGAAACCACAATTTAAATAGGGAATTTCCAGGGGCATCTGGGTGGCTTAGTTGGTTAGGTGTCCGACTTCAGCTCAAGTCATGATCTCACCTTTTGTGAGTTCGGGCCTCGCATCAGGCTCTGTGCTGACAGCTCGGAGCCTGGAGTCTGCTTCAGATTCTGTGTCTCCCTCTCTCTGCCCCTCCCCTGCTCACAACACTCTCTCTCTCAAAAATAAATAAACAAAAGTAATAATAAATAGTGCATTTCCATCAATCCAAAATGTTTCCTATACGATTTTGTGCAATCCCCCCATCACACTGGACCTAGGCAACCACTGATTTGCTTTCGATCATTAGAGATTAGCTTTGCCTTTTCTTGACCTTTGTACAAATTGGATCATATAGTATGTACTTTTTTTGTATCTGACTTCTTTCCAAGGTGAATCGTTTTTAAATGAAGTAATGAATCTCTAACTTACCACATCCAGATTTTCATGTAGAGAATTTTCTTAAGCTGTGAAGCCCTTTACTTACTTAAAACATTTTCTTTAATGTTTATTTATTTTTGAGACAGAGAGAGAGCATGAGCGGGGAAGGGGCTAATAGAGAGGGGGACACAGAATCTGAAACAGTCTCCAGGCCCTGAGCTGTCAGCATGGAGTTCAACACAGGGCTTGAACCCAGGAACCGTGAGATCATGACCTGAGCCAAATTTGGAGGCTTAACCAACTGAGCCACCCAGGCACCCCTGTGAAGCCCTTTATGTAGAGATCATACTTGTACATTAATTCATGTAGAGTCTTTTGTTTTAGGGTAGGTTGAACTTAAAATTAACATTGCACATGTCCAGAGCCATGGAGAGAAATAACAGCTTTTACTTAGGTGTTTTCTTTAATGTGTCAATTTTCAGCTACCCCCACTCGCATGTGCACTCTTGCTCTCTCAAAAATAAATAACATTAAAAAAATTTTTTTAAAAGGGGTGCCTGTGTGGCTCAGTCAGTTAAGCATCTGACTTCAGCTTGGTCATGACCTCACAGTCAGTGGGTTTGAGTCCCACATCAGGCTCTGTGCTGACAGCACGGAGCCTGCCTGGGATTCTCTCTCTTTTCCTCTCTCTCTGCCCCTTCTGTGTGCTCTCTCTCAAAATAAATTAAAATAAACTTAAAAAAATATATAATTCCATTTGTATTAAATATAATATTATGGTATACAGTATCTGATGGGTCCAGGAAGCAAAATAATGAAGGTTTTAAGAATGATCTAATATTTAAAGATTAAAAACTAAAACACCAGCTGTGTGTAAAAATCTCAATGACCAGAACACCAAGGTAGCTGTAATTCACCTATCTCTTCCACTTTTATAATAGAGGCAAATCAGAAGAAAAAAGACTAATACATAATAATTACTACACCCCCAAATTTCTGATGGATCAGTGCTGAGCAGGAAAGAAGTCACTCTTGGTGGTCTTTTAGAGCTCTTTCCTTAATAGCACTGTTCTGTTCAAAATACTGGTGAATGGTTGGATCAGTGGTTTTCAACTTTTTTTGAGGTCACGGATCACCTCAACAATCTGCTGAAAATTCTGGACCCCTCTCCATAGAAAAACATTTATATACACAAAGTGTCATGTACAGTTTTAGATGAATTAAGACTCCCTGGATCCAAGATTAAGAGCTAGTAACTTAGATAAAAACACAAAAGGCACACTTAATAAATCTGTGGATGCCTTCCTCCTGTGGGGGAATGGTTATGATGCTGTGTGACTCAAAATGATCTCCATAGCCTGGAAGCTGAGTTGAAATCAACAAGAATGCAGGGGAAAGACTGGATTTAAAAATATAGAGTACAGGGGTGCCTGGGTAGCTCAGTTAAGCTTTTGACTCTTGATTTCGGCTCAGGTCATGATCTCATGGTTTGTGAGTTTGAGCCCCACGTCTCGCCCTGTGCTGATGGTGCGAAGCCTGCTTGGGTTTCTCTCTCTCTCTGCCCTTCCCCTGCTCATGTCCTCTCTCTCTCTCTCTCTCTCTCAAAATAAATAAACTTTTAAAAAATATGGAGACTGCATGTTGTCCATGCAGAAACCTTAGCTGGGCAAAGTTGGGATGTAGGTGAGGTTAATTTGAAGTGGTATCTTTGGATCTCTCCTTTCAGTACCCTTCCTAGCCATCTGGTGTCTTATTTTCCAAACACCCAGGACTCTCATGCAACTACTAGCTCAGTGACCCACTCAGTTTTGCATCCCTCAGGCAGAATTCATTGCTCAGGACCTACCTCTACCCTTGACACCATTTTAAAAAAAAAGCAGCTGTTTGTTCTGTGACCTGTTCTTGTCTAGTGAACATGATCTTTTATCACCCAGTGATGTCACTTGGATTGATAATGAGTTAGCTCTCTTTTGAGTATTTACCTTTTAGAAGGAGATTCTTGAATACAGATAATTACTTAATCCAGAGTCTAAATGGTGGGGGCTCTTGGGTGGCTCAGTTGGTTGAGTGTTGGATTCTTGGTTTCAGCTCAGGTCATGATCTCGTGGTTTCATGGGTTTGAGCCCCACATCAGGCAGGCTCTGCACTGGTAGCGTGGAGCCTGCTTGGGATTCTCTCTCTCCCCCTCTCTCTCTGCCCCTCCCCACTGCTCTGTCTCTGTGTCTCTCAAAATAAATAAATAAGCTTAAAAAAAGAGTCTAAATGGTGGGAAAAGAGTCTAAATGGTGGAACTTCACGCACTGGAACAATCCAGAGGGGAGAGATTTCCGGGAAGAGGACCCTTCTCAGCTCTTCTCACATTAAACCATATGGGTTAACCATCTACACTACCTATGCACAAGGCCACTCTGGATAAGTGCAACTTTCATTTCAGTGTCCTTAATCTCCTATTAGCATTTCCATAACACACCATGTATTTGTTTGTGATCAGTCCTGAGACCCTATAAAATATTAAATCACAACAAAATTTTCACTAAATTTTACCTGGGCAGGAAAATGGGCTCATGTTGAAGAGCTTTCCAATAAGGGAACAGAACAAAAGTGAATCAGAAAATAAGTAATGGAATAGATCATTACCCAAACATTCTGATTACATGTCAGCCTAATTCTCAGAGAGGGTACTACCAGATTTATTTTGCTGTAGGTCGTTAAAATTTAAGTGGGTGGTCCCAATCAAATCCCAAAACAGCCTTGGGTTTCATAATCATTAGCTTTGCACTACCCAAAAAGACTTCCAGGGACTTCTCTGTTTCTGTATTTAGCAACTAGGATACGCTCAAGTCAACAGAAAAGCTTTTTGGTTATAGGCCCTTATTCTCCTCGAATTCATGTTTATTCAGTCATCTACTGGATATTTATTGAATGGCTACTATGAACCAGATACGGTGACAGGTGATACAACGGTGAGCAGAAGCAGAGCAAGCTCTTGTCCCTGAGGAGTTACAGCTTGGCTAACTATGACAAATCCTGCATGTGATCAACAGTAGTGTGCTGACTGCAGGCGAGGAAGCCTGGGCTTTGGTGCTGCACTGGGGAGGGCCTCCAAATCACAGTGGTCTATGAAAAAGGGACTAAAACATAGTAATTCTTGCCCAAATGGCTAAGAAATCATGTATATGGATATCTTCAATGTCCTTCAGAGTACCAGGTGAAATTTACCCCCAATATTGTATGCTGAGAAGTTAATATTTGCAGCTCTTTTTAAAAAATTTTTTAAATGTTTATTTATTTTGAGAGAGAGCAAGCAGGGGAGGGGCAGAGAGAGAGGGAGACACAGAATCTGAAGCAGGCTCCAGGCTCTGCGACATCA